CAATCAGCCATGTCAGCCATCGTACGAGCATGGGGGGGGGGTCGTAAAAGCTCGACCAAAATCCCCATCGAATGCTGTGCCCTGGCAACAAACTTACTCTCCCAGACTTCAACCCACACCCCTTGTTCGCTGTGGATGCCAGGGTGTGACAGCGAAATGGATGAGTTTGGTCTTTTCTCGACCTCTTGTTGAAACGAGCAGTTGACAGCAATTGCTGGAAATAGACTGACACCGCGCCAAAGCTTGACCCTCTGACATGCCTCAGCATGCGCAGCTAACAAGAGTATGCGCACGCAGGGCAGGACACATCGTTGTTGGGGAATCCCCAACAGGGGGGGGTCGTATTTGGCCGCCAGGAGAGGGGGTCGTATTTGGGCTGAGAAAAATTTATTTTGATAGTTGATTTTTCTCGCTTCACGGACGTTGTAAAAGGGGGGGTCGTACTTGCTCATTGTTGGGAGGGGGGTCGTATTTACTTTTTGGCCTTCTAGGAGTGGTGGGAGTGGTGGTTGACTTTTCGTGATTTTCCTGTTTCACATTTGCTATTACCTCCTAGCACCCATAGCGATTGTACCTATAAGGTATAAGTCCTTCCAAAACTGAACAAATATAAAAGGCCTGCGACCTGAGATATTTCTGAAAGTTAACTGTGTGCACGCGGCTTCAGGGAAGTTTTGGCGACCAGCGTACAAAATCTGTTAGTCAAACGTTGCCTGATAGGCAACTGCGTGTTGAACATTATTTCGGTGCTCTGCATTCATTGGAATGCATTACAGAATTAGGCACGAGGACACGAAAAACCTAGAATTAGTGGAACATGATTTCAACAATGAGGTCAGAGCCATGTACGTAAATTGAACGATTACTGCAGGATTCCAGGTCAATCGCCTATGTAAATGTGCAAATCATATTAAAGGCAGTTGGCACGATGGTTTCCTACTTAGCCTAAAATGCTAGTAGGGCGCTGTATAGTGGGGAAATGGCGAAAGAACGGAGTGAAACGGTCAAAATCCTGCGAAGAAAAAGCCTCCGTTCTCAGTGACTTGTAAATCGATTTCGGACGAGTTTCCCGTAGGCATCTTACCAATCACCGCTACCGAAGATACGGCTGCATATGTGTACCCATGTATGCATGCAGCATCATACCAATCCCTTCGCTTCATAATTTGCTTAGCAAATGAATGAATACGAGCGTCAGGAACGGTCGTCCATTTGTGGGCGGGCGGGCGTTTGGGACGTAATGTTGTGGCTTGATAGGGCCCTTATAAGGGCACCTTCCTCGGGGAAACCGCTATGCAGCGCCTGCCCAGGGTCGCGGAATTCTATCCTGCCAGGAGTATTGATCCTAGTCGTCTTGGGGATTTATCGTGCCAACTGCCTTTAATCACTAATACATTTTCATTCATCACTCACAACAGTTTTCTAAACTAAACGTTCCAATGAACGCTAGTCCTCCTCATGTCCATTATACAGGGTAACCAACAAGTTCTGGCAGTTTTTCGAAATACTTTGGCAGTATGAAAATACGATTCAAGGAAGTAAATAAGAAAACCTAAGCGATAGGGAATCTTCACTGAATCAGTAACAATGACCATAGACAACAAAGATACAACATGTGTTCAGAACTGCCACCTTCGGCTTTGATGCAATACAACATTGCCAGAAATTTTTGGTCACCCTGTAAAGTGATAAATAAAGTATGAGCTTTGGAACGGGTCCACTTAGGAGTTACTTATGGTAGAGCATCCAGACTGGGGAAAGTTTCTAAACGAAATAGGTCTGCTCAAAAGTAGCGGGCTTGTGAAACGTGCCAATCCCACTATATTACCTGAAGATCTTTTTTAAATGTTCATTTTCTCGTGGTAATATCGCGAGAGAGCATAGACGTACCTTCTTTGCATTGCATTATACCATGAGCTGAAGCTGCCTGGTTTTGTACATGGCACATAGGGCGAATTCACCTCATTGGTCTCTATTCTTTCACAGTGATCCCCTGAAAAGAAGTAGAAGCTTCTCACTGGGTAGATTATAGCTAGTGAAGAACGCTGCTCGACAGTAAAGGGTTTAATAAAAATGTGAATTCGAATATCATGACCAAATCTCGTTATGGTAAGAAAGATCGTTTCATTCTGACGTTTTCAACCGATCATCATGCCCGCTCAGCAAAATTATACACCCCTCATCCCGGGAAGGGAAGGGCGTGGCTGCGCAAGTCATTTGAACGTATCGGTGTCTGCGCTTTGGTGGGATTCTGCCGTTTCGGGACAATTGCGACTCAAGTACTTGTTCTGCACAGGACAGGACTGCTGCCTCGAATGGAAATGTCCAGCAAAAACCTTGGCTACGTCATGTTCAAATGAAAATGCTAAGCCACGGCAGGACCCACCCCCCCCCCCCCCTACCCCGAATCTATGAGAGTATCCTTCACCACATGTTTTGTGTCCTTGTTTCGTTCTGCTTTGTCAAGTACCCACTTAAATTCCTCATTTTCAGGTACTGCCGTAAAAGGACTTCAGAAAAGGAGTATAATCCTTGTGCGAAAAAAGAGCAAACTACAAACCGATCCATACCACTCAGCTAAGTCGCGTAAGGTAAGTAGGCGTAGGCCGTCTGGGAGAACAACAAGAAGGAGAATATACAGACAAAAGTGTCGCTTGGCCCGGGTGTGGCTGCCAATGCGAACAGCATTGTCGGAGTATAAGACAGTTCCCGCAAATATCACAAGCCCTGTCCGGAACATGTCAGAACGGAGAAAGTGGCAATTTACTGCAAAACGCTATTCATCTCGCACTGACAAGAAAAGCGATCTGCGGGGTGGATGTAACAAGCAATTCAATATAACTCAAAAGTCGTCAAAAGACAAAGTCCCTGGACTGGGCATAGGGCATGATCGTCATAGTATGTCTTGCAGGCCCATTCATGCAGGGCGAACCCTTGCAAAAACGGAACTCGCATGACTGGAAAAAGGGCGACTTCTCCAAAGATTTACCATTTAGCTGACCAACTCCATCTTGCCCCAGCTTATACTCGAAAATCCCTGAGAAGAGGTAGGAGTGGCTGCGTACTTCAACTAAACGATCGTGTGGAAATGTCCCAGAGTAACAGTTCTGGTAGCCATGTTCGATATGTCACGCCTACCGCCGTCTCAGATAGGGAGTATATTTTCTCTCAGTACCTGGGGGGGGGGGGGTTAGGCACCAAATCGGTCATGATCGACTCTTTACTAGTAAGAATATCTGGGCAGCAGAGCATCCTTCACGAGCAGAAAAAAAAGCCGCTTGTGGAAAAAATAGATCTATTGAGCGTTGAATGATCAAATAGCAAGCGCGATTTGTGAGTGCTGCTGATACAAAATGAACATTCCGTTGCCAAATTTTGTGCCATTATACAACTCAGTGCGATATGCAAAAAACTGACCTTGGTTCTTGAATGGTTGTGAGGAGGATGAGCCACAGGAAAAACTTTCTGCGTGTCATCACAGAAATCGTGGTGGCGAAAAGTGTAAGGCCACAGAACGATAAACCACCATCCCTTCATCATCGCCATTTTCAATCTTGGAAGTATGAACTTATTTCTTTCATTTATCTCTCAACCTCTTAATTTGTTTCAAACAAAGTAAAATAAGAATGAGACCTCCACTGCGAGCCCTTTTGTGAAAATCTGCACTGATTTTCCATTCAAATGTAGTCCCTTGAATGCAGTTGGGGCTACAAGGATTTGCAGGTTTGGCCTACAAAGATTCCAGGAACAGCAAATGTCCAAGTGTTCTCTCCTACCAGGCGAATTTGGTACCATTATACCGTCCCTAAGAAGTAGTTCGTGACCTGGGTGGGAGCTATCCGGTATTTCACGCCCGGACCGCGCGTGTGGTAAGCGTGCCACTTGCCACTACACCACTTTCACGTCACCTCCGATAAGTGAGAAAAAGCCCGTGACATAGAAAGAAGGGAAGGGGATGTACTGGCTCTAGATGAGGGAGAAGCTCTTCTTTTCAATGCTTGCCTCAAAAATTGCAATTTCGACCAAAACTGGGCAAACCTTGCTACCTGACCGAGAAATAAAGACTTCCGGTGTTAAGAACTTGCTATAATGAAAGTAGCGATACTGGAATTTCTTTTTCAGATTCAACAAAAGTGGACAAGCAGTAGCTGATCTACAGATCGAGGTCATGCAACCCGCCCTTTATGATATGCGAGCAAGAAGCAGCAACCACATCAAAATGCTTGACGAAGGAAGATAATCCCACCTGTGACCTTCGCTTGGACAAGTTCGATTGTTTTAGGACACTCGCATACAGCTTCGACTGCGTTTTCTTTTTCATGGTATTTCAGCGTACAATTTGATGCGTTCATACAACTGTAGCCTGCGCACGGAGACCGATATGTCGCAACTGTAATTGAACGTAACCGATTGGAGAAAATGATTCTAACGACGCTATTCCTCAACATGCGCGCTTTCTGACCCTATCAAGTAGTAAAGCTTCTGAATAAAGGAGAAAGGATACGAAAGTCTCATAGTCCTGCTACATCTACGTATAACATGAATCATACCCTAACTGGATGAAAGTCTCTGAAAAAGAATAACTCCTATTCGTTCTAGTGGACTGCGAGGTGTAAAGATCCCGAAAGCACAAGTTTGACGATGAGGGGGCACAATTTTGTACGTACCGATTGTTTGTTGCTCCCTCAGTTTCCGCGTTTATCATGTCACACTCTGCGAAATCTGTGAATTCTTGTGAAGCTGGAACAAGGTCGTCAAGCCATCATGTGAGAACCTGTCGACTCGGTAAGAGGCTCTCTAAATAGGTCGACTTGTCGATGGGAAGGAGCAAAGTCAAATGACCCCCTCCTCCTCCCTCCGTCGTCAAGCTGCGCCAGATCTCGATGACAAGGAGGTAATTAACACTAGAATTAACTCCGAGAGCCAAATCTGCAAGTCTGACTGTGTCAGTACATGCTTTCCTATTTCAAAATTACTCTTCAGGCAGCTCTTATTGATTAACTAATATTTTGAAAGCATCGAAGCAAATATATGGTTTCTTGGAAGTAGTACTCCGCTTACACGTTCCCCGACCCATTCGTGTGGATCGCATTTGCAATCGCAACCACTCTCAGGGTCGTAATGGCTTGGCCCATTGAACTATTTGTAAAAAAAAAAAAGAGGTCCTCTTCACAACTTCGCTCTTCTTCAGTAATGTGACAGAATTCGCCGATAAAACCATCCGGACAGATACACCTGGACAAAATAATATTGGCCAGCTCTTGACAGCACCCTGCTGTTGAATAATTCAAAGAACTTACTGATATTGAATGGTGATCAGGAACTTGTTTTTGGTCTCACTCGCTGAGAGAGAAGGATTCTTCTCTTTGAAGGCACGCAATTCTATCGGATCCATAAATGTTTGTTTTGCTGCTGTGCTGAAATCAGCTTTTTATAGAGGGCAAGCATCTCCAAGTACCAAATTTTGTAATATTTCGTCCTTTGGTTTCTATTTTTCGTCCAGAAGACGAGATTATGGGCGAGCTTTGCGAGAGAACTTGACTGGGACTGCTTTTTGGTGAAAAACTTTGGGTGTGCAAGTGTCCGCAGCACCGGCCACAAGCGTGTTTCAGTAGGTAGGTCTTATATTAGAGCGAAAAGTCACACTATCAACCCAACAGACTATAGCAAATCTGCGGTTCAACCGAATTCTTGACCTCGTGATGAACCAGGTGAACCAAGCGGTGCGGCTAGAAACGTTCCAACCGATGTAAGCAATTTTTATGCTTCTGGAGAGGGTTGGTGCCAGCAAGTAGGACAGGGTAACAGGCTAAAATGGCCGGGGCAGCAGCCGCTTGGACCATCTGAAATGACGAATAACAAACTCCCTAACTCGAAAGGCACTGCTAGAAGGATGCTGGTTAGCTGTTGAGCTCTACCACAAAACTAGTAGAGGATGGTGTAGATATTTCTATTTCACAGGCTCTACGCACGAATTCTGTTCATAATGAGAATGTCAGAAAAAAATTACTGAAAATCACCTCAAGCACGTGCCGCCATTCTGGCACTTATGATTCTGGCAGTAGGTTGTGTTCGCTATACGTTCACATCTTTTCCCAAAGTGAGTGGGGGGACAACTGCATATGAATCTTAACGATCTTGTGATCAATAGAAACATGTACATAAATTGATTTCTCAGTCAATAGCTGTTTATCCACCAGCACTTCACGCTGGACAGATTGCTCTATCGTTGAAGCCCTTAAACCTATAGTGAAATGGACCTAGAGTGGACAAGGTTGAACTTATTTCGGAATGGAACTCACTCGCCATCTCGATTCGTGCATTTTCCTTTGTTCAGACATATATCTTTGGATGTCTTGCAAGGATCGTACTCGCTTTTCTCTTGAACCATGGGTACCCGGTCATCAGTAGAGTCCAGCTTCGGTACCGGGGGAAGACCAACACCGCTTGACTCTAGGCTTTGGTACTTGTCCACTTCTGAAAGTTATCGGCAAATTACAAAAGTGAAGAGCCTGCTCATAGACTGAGTTTAGCCGCCAAGCCTCTCCATTTTTGACAAGGAATGGTTATTGCTATCGCACGGAATTTGAATCAATGCTTTGGCACACCCCTTTAAACCAATGGTATGGTGGATAACGTCGCAAAAATCCACGAAGGCTTTTTTGCCTTGTTCTGATTGATGAAGTGTTTTCTAGCAAGGAAGTTCTGAAAATGTTTGAAAAGGTGATTCGGTTGGTGAAAGGTCTGGAGAATATGGCGGTTGAGGTAGAACTTCAACCCCCAATTCGTTCAATTTATGGATAGTGATTTGTGAAACGTGTGGGCGGGCGTTGTCATGCAAAAGAATCGGACCCTTTCTGTTGACAAGTGCTGGCTGCAGACGGCAGTTTTCGGCTGAAATTTCTCGATTTCTCTTACTAGTTGGGCTCTGTAGTGATGTGTTGGGCCTGATACAAAAACTTGTAGTGGAATCAACATTCAGCACAGATGACCACCGACACTGTGCACAAAATAATCTTTTTCGTCGAGGGTCGGCCCTTGGAAATTCCCTCGGTGTTGTCCGGCATCCAACCACTGTCCGGAACGTCTCCTGTTATCATACATGATCCACTTTTCATCATAGATGACAATTCGTCCAAAAACGGTCGTTTCTGTTGCGCAAAAAGCAGGTGAAGGAAGAAAACTCAAGCAGTGTCAATTCCTGCCCCGTCACGTCAAATGTGGGCACCTCAACTCGTCGATTTTTCACCTTCCCATGCGTTTCAGACCATCAGCAACAGTGGATTTGCCCAACGCCTAGCTTTTCTGCAATCTCTCGAATTGTTTGGGATGGGTCAGCCTCCATCTTCGTCAGGTATTGCTTAGACGACCGCTACGAGATTCTTCAAGGCTGAAGATTGACCCAATTTGTAGTTGTAGAAAAATATCGTCTGAAGTTGCTCTTTGACATGCCTCAAAAGGTCTTGGGGAAAGTGGGTTTTATCAAGAAACCGCAATTATACCATCGGATAGTGCAAAAAATTCTCTTTAGAGTGTACTTCTGAGACGCAAGGGAGAATACGTTTTTAATGAGCAATGCATGTACAAGAAATAGTAACACAAAACGCGAGAACTTTCCGGACTACCTAATATAAGGACAACTTGAATTTTTACTATCCCAACCTTGCTGTCTAAGAAAAGCGTTGAGGTTATCAATGGGTTCCTCATGACAATGAACCTTGTCTCTTGAATGGACCATAGTTTCCGGGCAGGTTTCTATCTTTTCTTATACTACATATCCCGGAGGAGTTGGGGGGGGGGGGGTTGGCTGCGCATCGTAAGGGTTTGCAAGCCGCTCTTCTGTGGGAATGTTGACCGTTTTGGGAAAACAAAGCAATGTAACCTTTTCCCAGACTTGAGATATCGTAAGCTTGCGTTAGCTGTGTTGGGAATATTCCAGGGAAATGCAATTTACCATATAAGTTACAAACTATGTTCAAGGTTGCGCACGTAGCCGTACCATCTCCATCTTCGGGATAGAAAGTATAAGCATCCATCATATTCAGCGGGGGCACCAATATCAACAGCTTCAAACAATTTGTTGCATTTTAGGTCGAAATACCTTATGCTCTGGAGTATAAGGTCCACCCCACCATAGGAAACTGCGTGTCCTCAACCTTTCGCGCGCGTTGTCGCGCGTGTCTCTGCGAAATGCGCGCTATACATGAAAAAAGGCGCATTTTCTCGTACAGTACTTTCAAAATTGACCAAGTATTGTAGTTGATTCGGGTTAGGAAAAGAGCGATTCCGAACTGAGTACTCTCATACCATAGAGAAACTTCATCACGGTTCATTTTCCTCAGCTCAGGCTCTTCTCCTCAAAATCGTTGAAGCACCTTCCTTGGAGTGAGCTATGTTTTCCAGAATCCTGGGCTATATATAAGATGTTCAGAATGAGTAATCTCGCCTAATCTGCCCGCGCTTTCACTGACAGCGCACGGTATATTGTTTAGTCAAGGACGCTTCACCAGAAACCTTAACTAGCGGCACGAAAGCGGCACGCCGATTCTGCATGTCTGCGGAAGCGGCCACGCAAAGCTGCTCAAGAACGGTCAAGCGCAGCGATTGCAAAAGTCTTGAAAAAGAAAATCTACTTTATCTCGCCTGGCAATTTACTGGGACTGGGGAAGCAATATCGTGAGTCAGATGGAAAGAGAACTCAAGAGAGATGTGAGACTACATATTAGTGTAGCCACGAAATTTTTGGCAAAAAGCACCCTTAAGATGTTCTGGTTACCGTAACATAAACCGAAAGAATAAAGAAACATTGGGAAGGTAGGCCTCTTGTCATGTCTTTTCACTGGTTCCTAATCAATACTTCAATCTAATACGGTAAAGAGAACGCAAAGGTAGGTACGTGCTTATGAGGCCAGCGTGGACTGTACCTTTGAAAAACCATTGCGAAATCACGTAAGATGTGCGAATCCTATAGCCCATTAAAGGACACATCTCAGGCGCAAAGGGTGTGCCACTTTTCGCCACCAAAGCTGGCGGCCCACAACGACAGCAGGTGCTTTTGATCGACTGCCCATGTACGCCACGCCATCACTCGCCAAACAATGCCTTAGCTCATTCCACACGGTGTGATGGATGATGTTCAGAAGATTCTGACCTTCGAATATCGATGGAATGGTGATTGTGAACCCTTTCAAAAAAGATGGAAACACTGTTGTAGCGCCAGAGTTATGGATCAAGTACACTTTGGCAGTGAGGCTAGCTCTCACCGCCGTACAGCTTGGATTTATCGTAACCAAGTAGTCCACAGGGACGACGTCTGGTCCAGTTGTCGGATTTTGCAATGAAATTTCGGTAAAGAAAGTTTCCCTTAGTCGTACAGTCTTTGACTGTGCAAAGGGGAGGGTTCCGTCAATCAAAGGAGCTGGACTGAAGCCATGGGGGGGGGTTGCTCCAATCAGCTGTGGCGGTCTTCTCTACCAGTTTTGGCGGTGCAGACGGTATCAATTAGTGAAGGCAAAAGGCTTCCACCGCATTCCAGTCCACGTCCCCTTACAGAACTTCTTAGTTGTCGGGTGACGACTGTAGCCCAGTTTTCTTGACTGAATAGAGTCGTTGTCTTATCAAGCTAGCAGCTCAATGAGTAACACCTAGTGCAGGTGAAACAATGATCTTTTTTTTAATTCTGCCTAAGGGACTAGCTGCTTGCTTGCCCTCCGCTATCTACAATTACTTGCTTGAAGTTGTGTTATGGCTCACCTGTGCCTGTCGGTTTCTTCCCAGGAAGCAGTATCGCAGTCAAAGGAACAGCAAGCAGGGCGCAAATCAAGACCATCAATCAAATCAACCGTAATTTATCGATCGTTATCATGAAGATAGCCTCTCGCAGTATGATGTGGTTTGCGTGGCGACACGTCAGTTGGTTCATGGGAGGTTTATCAGGATGAGAAGGAATTTCTGTTGAGTGAAGTCAAAACTTCATCGCTCTCCTCTGATTCCAAATAACTATGGCACCGATTTAGTCGGCCATCAATAGGAGCGGCAGGCGGCATGACCGTTCCAATTTCGCCGTTGCTTGAAGTGTTATTGCAGTTCAAATACTTTATTACCCAAAAGTAAATATGATGAATTAACGGCGAGTTCCGTCTTCGAAGAAGACACCTCCATCGAGAGCGCAATATTTGGGGCAGATTCCCGGCTGTCTCCGGGGTTCCTTGTACCTCTGTTTCCGGGAGTTCCTGGGTTTCCGTCGTTTCCAGGCTGACCAGGACCTCCAGGTGGTCCCTTTGGTCCAGGATTTCCTGAAATGTGAATATTACGGAAGAATAAGTCGAGTTACCAGAACTTGTCACAAGATTTGAAAAATACCTGGTGCTCCTGGATTTCCGGGCTGTCCGTTGGGTCCAGGTGGTCCTGCAGGTCCGGGAGGTCCAGCAGGTCCAGGTGCTCCGGGGGTGGCTGGAATGGAATTGGCGGGCTGTCCAGGCTGTCCTGGAGCTCCTGGGCTTCCTGGGTTTCCGCTGGGTCCTGGTGGTCCCTTTGGTCCGGGTGTTCCTGGTCCTCCTGGGTTTCCGGGTCCTCCTGGGTTTCCGTCGCGTCCAGGATCTCCGGGCTGTCCAGGGGCTCCTGGTGGTCCAGGTGGTCCAGCTGGGCAAGGGTTGCATGGAGCAGGTGTGTACACGGGGCATGGTTGAGTAGTTTGTCTTCCTGGGTTTCCTGGGGCTCCAGGAGCTCCGGGGTTTCCTGGTCGTCCAGGGTTTCCTGGCTGTCCAGCTGGACCTGCACCTCCACCAGAGCAGCAAGCGGTACAGTCGTTGTAAGCCTGACGGGCGGTACGGTTGCTGGGAGCCTTCATGGTGCTCACCTCAGACCATATGTCACGCGCAGAAGTCTGAAATTCATTGCTGATTGGTGGTTTTAGAAATGCGAATAAAAATCTGAAAGAGTCACTTACACGGCAGTAGTTGAGTTCCGAGTACATCGTGCGCTGAACGTGGTGAACGTAGTTGTACACCATGGGCAGGGTGGTAGCAGCACCAAGGATGGCACCACCGAGAAGGCCACAGCCGAGTAGGCCACAAAGCGGTAGGCTTTGCATCGCTGTTGGTACTCAACGTCCATGTCGACTGTCCGTGTCCATTAGTGATTCGTGGTCCGCTTTTATATACGAGGCAAATCTATGCTAACCTCGAAGCGCTATTTTCAGTTTTCTTTTGCGTCACAAGTGTTACACATTAACTTCGCAGCGCGAAAACATATTGCATAGAGCATTTCGGTCCATCTATGAGATCTTGATCTCGTACAGGCAATGATCATCTTATCATCCGTGTGAGAAAGTTTACATCCTTAATTAGATTACGGCATCTGACCGCAACGATTTGTTGTGGTGATCGTATCTAGCACGAAATCGCTTCGTATCGTTCCTGTAATGAGCACAGATAACGATTATCCTGCTGGCCATGAACTCCAGCGCCACAGTCGAGATGACAGGATAACTGAACAAGGCTAACGCAAAACAGATTATCCATCGAGAAAATAACGCAAATCAATGTAAACATTAAAGACAAAGATCAACATGGGTTTTTCTGATGACGCGTTTTTTTTCGTGTTGCTACCTCCCCAACCTCTATCAGCATAGCACTCACCGACGGAAATTGGAGGGGCTTCTGTCTTACCCCTGTCATGTGAAGAGAAGATTTTCGATCAAGTCTTTAACAAACGATTGCAGTCAAAGAATTCCACATTTTCTACGTGGTGCGTTATTTCAAATCATCCAAACTTTCAGGTGAGTTCAGGTGCTTTCGCATTCTCTTAAATAGTACATTATTTCCCTGGCGTCCGGTAGACCATTACTGAAGCACACGCGATGCTGCGATCGCCGAGATGCGGCCACTCCATGAAACGCTCTAAAGCTGTGTTCATACTTCGCGACAGCAGCGGCGATCGTGGCGATCGCCACAATCGTCGGTACGCGACAGAGCGCCCCTCAACGCTATTATCAGGCAACCAAAAAAGTTCTGAAGGTAGCGAAATAATAACATAAAAACGGGTTAAACTTAGATTTATTCCGAAAAATAATTACCCTCAGCAAGTAATACACTTTCCCATTTAGACACAAGAGCATCCTCTCCTTTGACATTACACAAGAGAATTAGTGTTTCGGTTCTTAGGCGGCTTTTTCTCTTTTTTTTCGCTGTTTTAACAACAACAGATAGAAAGTCCATCTTGGAAGCGAATCACTTAGTCTCTCATGCAATATCAAGGGAGAAGAAACTTTATAACTTCATGTATAAGCTCGAAGAAAAAAAAAACATTGAACTTACCCTGAATTAAGCTCCACGCTATTGCTCATTACTATCCTGAATCAAAAAAGAAAATCGAAAATAAGAGTCATTGAAGTAAGGCCCACCTCTCCTTGAGTCAAAGAGAGCATTAGTACTTAAGACAACTGCAAAATAAAAAGCAGACATTCAGCCGATTCCTGCCTGAAAGCACTCGTAGTGGTCCAAGTAGTAGCGTTTGGGCGCGCTCTGTCGTGTACCGAGGCGCGCTATTGAGATAGTGGGATCATGTGGCGCTTCGAGGCACGTCATCGCGAAGTATGAACGCTGCTTAAGGCAGCGTCAGACTTCG